TATAATAAAAAATGAAAATATTGTCTATGCATAAAAACTGACTGTGATGCCCTACTTCCTGGAAATCATCTGATAAAATGGTGAAAAAGTAAAGGTATAAAGTAGGCTCTTCATTGGGGGGCCTTTTATTAAAACATTACTGCTCAAATGAAATCTATAAGATTCACATGGTAGAAACACGGAATAGCATCTCTGGCTGAAGTAGAGCAAGGAACACAGCCCACAAAGCCTTCTGTTGGGAAACACCTCCCAAGAGCTTCTGCACTTACTAATGACCTCCCTCCTTATTTCACTGAGAAAGCAGAAGCTATTAGTAGAGAACTAAATCTTCTCACCACCACAATGGCAATCTCCCTGTATCTGGACTCATATACTCTGCCATTCCCCCGTACAAGACTCACCTCTCTACTTTTCTTCAGAATCCTAATCCTTTAAATCTTTGGGAAATACTGCTCTGTAATAATTATCCATGCCTCTATCCCAATGTCAGGTCCTCCACCTACTGAATCCTTCCCATCAGCCTATAATCTTGATGTATCATATAGTATCATCCACAGTAAAATAAAACTGAAAAATCAACTTTTAAATAATACAAATGACCCTCCAGTTCATACCTAATTTTTCTGTCTTAGTTTACAGAAAATCCCCTTAAGAGTCATCTATATCTTTTAACTCCTGTTCTCTCCTCAACCCCGTTGTAAGCAGGCTTTCATCCCCGACAAGCCACTGAAAACGTGCTTGTGAAGGTCTCCAACTACCTTCACTTTGCAAATCCAATGATCCAATTTCAACTAAGAGCAACACAGGAAACAGTTGCTCTTTTCTTCCTTCCTGAAACACTTCCATCATCAGCTTCCAGAAATCACTTTGTCCTGGTTTTACTCCTGCACCACCGGATGCCTCTACTCAGTCTCCTTGGCTGGATCCAGCTCCCAGACCAGGGCCCAAGTTCCTTCTTCTCTCTCCATAGATGTGTTATTCCCCATGGATCTCCTTCAATCTCATGTCTCCCAAATTAACATACCATGCTAACCTCACCTTTGAGCTCCAGACTCACATGCCCAACTTCTTCATCTGCACCAGCATTTGAATATGTAGTCCTCTATAATCTGCATCTCAGATTGTACAAGGCAAAACAGTACACCTGATTCCAGACCAATTCACTTCTCCTTCAGCATTTCCTGCTTCACAAAATAAAATCCCCACTCACCCAGCTGCTTAAGCAACTAGAGTCATCTTTGCCTCACACCTGTCAGTTAAATGTATCCACTTAGGCTGCTTTTTCTTCACAGCACTTAGAACTGTCAGAAGTCGGTTTGTGTATTTGTTTCCTTGTTCACTGTTTATCCCTCTCATTGGACTAGTTTCCATATGGCTGGGCTCCTTGACTCTAAGTCCTATTCCCCACAACTGTCTGTGCCTTGCATATTTGTTGAAAGAATTATTCTGCTTCAGAAACTACAACAGATTTTGATTCAAGGCACATTTTCATACCATCCTGTCTGATCTCTTCCAGAATCAGTCAGTAGAAAAAAAGGAAGTGGTGTGAAACTAGATATGCCTGGGTTTCTATATGAGCTCTGGCCTACCACCCCACCCCCACCCCCACCCAGCTCTATCCTCACTATCAACAGTTTATTAGGCACTTACTACAGTCCACTGCTAAAATAAAAACAAGCAGAGACCAGCCTTGAAAATCCCCTGAGCAGACACAATCAGTTAGTCCTACAAACAAAGTTTAATTTTGCTTATTCTCTAAGATGAACTTGACCTGGATCATTTCTTGCTTACGCCTCTGAAAATCATAAGCAGAACTCAAGACTGTTTCCCAAGGTTGGTATAAGGTAATCACTGTCCAATTCCCTATCATTTAAGAAAACTCTAATATTATAAACAATCACTGTGAAGAATAAACAGTCACCACCTTCCCACTATATAAACTGCTTTATAACAATATCCCGGAGCCTCAATCCATGTTTGGTTTGAGTGCTCCTGGTTCCGAAACTCTCTTTTTGGTGTGTGCACAATAAACTTTTACTAATTACTACTTGGGTGAATCACTGGTTGAATTTTTGTTATTTTTGAACCTTCAAAACCACAAATTATGTTAAACCTTCTTTATATACATCATTTAATTCTAACAACAAATATATGAAGTGAGTTTCATCATTCCTGTTGTAAAAATCACAGAGCTGCTCACTGGGAAAAGCTGGGACTTAGTTGAGGGTCTGACGCCAAAGCCCCTTCTCCTGCAACCCCTAGTTAAAACCATGTGTCAAGGTCTTCCACGTGATTATGAATGCCACGGAGAGGACTCAAGGCCTTATCTGACCTCTACGCATGTTCTTACTAACTACACTGACATAATCAGTGTGGTCACAGAGTGATGATGACACAAACCGATGATGTGTGCACACTGCCTAGACAAGGCATGCACTCAACAGCTGCTAGCTCCTTGTCCTAGTTTCTGACACCTATATGCACTTGGCTACATTTTTAAAGGCTTCATATTGTTTCCAAAATGTTTCTTTAGTGCCTGTATTTTCTTCCAGTATTAAATTTTTTTTTATTAATTGATTTTAGAGATAGGAATGGGGGAAGGGGAGAGAGACAGAGAGGGAGAGAAACATGGATTTGTTGTTCCACTTATTTATGTATTCATCGGTTGATTCTTGTATGTGCCCTGATCAGGGACTGAAGCCACAACCGTGGTGTATTAGGACAATGCTCCAACTGAGCACCCGGCCAGGGCGAATCTTCCAGTATTTTTGAAGCACTTCTTTATGAAGAATATAAATGTAAATACTTCAAAATTACTTTATATGTTTAAACTTATTGAAGTATTATATCATATATATAGCAATTTGTAAAATTTTAGAAAAATGCCATGGAATAATGTGACCATCACTGCCTATAAACTGAGAAGTTTTACAGTATGAATCTTGATAAATAATTCCTACTCTCCTTATAATGTGTTTATACTATAAATATTCTTTAACTTACATAATTTTTCACAGACAATGTAGGTGAAATTTATTTCTGTTGTCAACATTTCCTAAATGTTGAATTAATCAATTTTTGTGTGTGTTTAGGCACTTTTATGTGTCATAACTGAATTATAGATCAATTTTACTTTACCATTCAGAAATCTCAAAACTCATACTAGTATCAACAAAAAAACACATGTATTCTTTCTGTAGATTTTTCTTTTATGTCACATGACCAAATACTTTTGCATGCCTGGAAAAGGCTGAACTGCTACTCACACTGGCAATTTTTATAAATGCCTCCAGATTAGATTGACGGACATTTAACAGATTTTTAGAGCAAATTTCATGGAGACGAACTGTTTCTTTCTATTAAAGTAATTTTAGAAATTGAGGAAGAGAAAAAAATCACCCTTGACGGACATTTAACAGATTTGTAGAGCAAATTTCATGGAGATGAACTGTATACTTTCTATTAAATAGTAATTTTAGAAATTGAGGAAGAGAAAAAAATCACCCCCTCTAAGCAGTTTATACTTAATTTTGTTTACTGGCTATGGAATAGGAAGAAAATAATGCCCAAGAAGAGGAAAATTTTGTACTCCCAACATGACAAATTTTTTTTGGTTACTCCTCACCCAAGGATATTTTTTCCATTGATTTTGAGAGAGAGAGTGGAAGGGAGGAGGAGAGAGAGAGGAACATCGATATGACAGAGACACACATCAATTGGCTGCCTCCCGCATGCACCCCAACCAAGGCCGGGGATCGAACTGAGGTACTTGCCCTTGACCGGAATTGAACCCAGGATCCTTCAGTCTCTGGCCCAAAGCTCTATCCACTGAGCAAAAATGGTTAGAGCCCAGTACAGCAATTTTAACTACATACATCCTTTTAAAAACAATCTATTTGCATTTTGAATTCCCATATAAAAGTAAGTCCATGCCCTAGCCGGTTTTGCTCAGTGGATAGAGCATCGGCGACTGAAGGGTCCTGGGTTCGCTTCCAGTCAAGGGCACATGCCCAGGTTGCAGGCTTGATCTCCAGTAGGGGGCGTGCAGGAGGCAGCCAATCAATGATTCTCTCTCATCATTGATGTTTCTATCTCTCCCTCTCCCTTGCTCTCTGAAATCAATAAAAATATATATTTAAAAAAATTTTAAAATGTCCATGTAATGTGCTTTATGTGGACAAAACCTCAATTTTTACTATATTTGTGCCACTAAAAGGTAGTGGAAATTTTCTAAATTTCCCCATGACAAGTCCCATTAATTTTAATTGAAGCTTTCCCTTCCCAGTTTATCCTTGGCTGATAAAACAGTTTAGAGATTTCAGCCAAATGTAACATTTCCCAGGGGGAATATGAAAATAAGTTATAAGTATTCAAGTAAGTAAGCCACCTGTCTGGAGATTTATTTATTTGACCAGAATAGCTTTCCAAAATTCAAATAATCCATGTGCAGAACAGATGTAGCTCTTTAATAAATACAACTGCTATTTCACTTTCTATTAACATGCATCACAAATGGATAGAGCAATTCTCAAGAGTCCAAGTATATAAATGTTCAATAATGCATGTTTCCTTATAAATCTTGAGTCATAAATAAACAACAAACCATATTCTTAAATTTGAACACTCTAAGTAATTGTGTGTACTAACAGCAGACTAGGAGCACTACCTTCTCAGCTAGGTGTCCAAAATATAACAACTCGTACATAAAAACAATTGACAACACCATTCAGAAATGTGAACCTTGCTCAGAAGCTCACTCTAGTAAGGCTGAAAACAGACCTTAAAATAGCTGCTCCCTTGAACAACCATCCTGGGTTTCTATTATGACAGTACTACAGCATGATCTTCCTGGTTACCATCAAATGCAATTTCTGTACTAACTGGGAGGCTCAGAGATGAATTAGACAAGATCCTTGCCCTCAAGAAACTTACACCGCAGATGGCATAGTAGACAATCTTAAGAGCCATAAAGCATGAATTACTGAGCTTACAGTTAAAAACAGGAGAGAGATTCTAGCTAAAATAGACTGTCTATGAATATATTTATTAGTTCCATGATTCATTTCAGGTTACAATGATTAATTTTCATAAATGTTATTTCTGGTGTTTCCTACTAATAACAATGCTTTAACCTTTAATGAGAAATATATCATTTGATATATCTGGAGACCAAATTAATTTACCTTCAAATACCTTTTCATTGTACACTTTCCACTTACCGAAGTCAAAACTCCCACCTTCCTACAGACCTCTCTTAAAGCTTTCTGGCCTTATTGTTGGATGGAGAATGAAATCTACTTCTAGAAAAACTCATGTTGTCTTTATCTACCCTTAACTCTACCACTGCCATCTCCTATAATACATTAACATGATTCCCCAAAACAAAATTTTTTAATCATAAAGGGAAAACATGAAAACAACATATATTTAAGTTAATGATGGGATTTCATTCATTCTGACAGCTGTAGTAACAGTGGGGGGTTGAAAGCATTGGAATAAGGAAGGTTGGCATGAGCTAATATTTGACAGTTACTAGATTCAAGCTCTCTATGAATTAATCTGTACCACTATCGAAGGGATTTATAGCATTAATCCCATTTGGCAGATTAGAAAACAAAGGCTCTGAGAGGCTGAGTAACTTTCCAAAGATCAAAGGGCTAGTGAGTGCCAAGGTCAATGCTTCTCCGCTCATTTCGAAGTCCAAAAAAAGTCCTTAATCTTTCCACATATCAAGCTGTTTTATTTCTGATAGACCTTGAACAAGCAACTGAGCCGAAGAGAACTGCATTCACAATTGCAGAGATTATTCTTTGTCAGTCTTCACTTTCTTTAGAAGAAAAAGCAGTGGGCTAAGCCTCTCTACAAAGAAGTATCGCTTTTTCTATTCTCATTACATTAAAGAATGGATATGAAGTAATGTGGCTGATTTTTGAAGAAACAAACATCAAAACTTAGAAACCTGCTTCCTTCAGTCACCTTGGGAAAGACTATAAAATTACTTCGGTGATAATGTTACAGCTCAAGTATTTCTGAAAATCTTGTAGAACCATGTTCAGAACGAGTGGCATACTCTGAATATCCTCAATGGTCACACATCTTCATCCTTTGCAAAAGAATTTGGTTTTGAGTGAAGGCACTGAGAGGCAGACTTATTGAGAAGATGGCTTATTTAGTTGAGTAAAAAGGAATTTGAGATAAAAAGAAGAGATACCTATAAATTAATGAGCTATGCCAAGTTATCACTCATCCTTTGCCTTCCTTAAATGCCCACCCACTTCCTATGTAAATTATTATTTTTCATAAACACATGTTTCTTTTCTTCAGAGGTCTTATTACTACTACTGAGTATTTAAGGTGTGTTTTTTGTTAAATGTTATTAACTGTCAATTAATTATTATTAGTTGTCTCCCCTATTACACTGTAAGCTCTATGAGTTCAGTAAGCATGGGGTTTTGTCACCATAGTATATCTGGCATCTAGAAAGAACTGATACAAGTAAGAATGCAGTAAGTTATTGTTGACCGAGTCAATGAAACACAGTGTTTTCTGATTCAAGAACTGACTCTCAAGACAATTCTACTAGAACTTTTCTGAGCAACCAATGGCAGTATCACTAAAATATAGTCCATCTCCCCCCAATGAGAGAATAGATACATTCTTTTGGTTGGTTAAGAAACTTTCAGAGCACAGTCCCTCTTTAATAAACTTTTTACAAAGTATGATAACAGAGCAAAAATAAATGTAATCTTTTATAAACAAGGGGTTGAAGAAAGAGAAAGAATATTGCAATAATTTTTATTTAACTTTTGTTTCTACCTAATTTAAATGTAAACTTTTGGTACTGAAACTAGGATTCAACATACTATACAATATACATGGAGGAAGTAAATTATCGAAGGTAATTACCACTAATTATGAAGATTCAATGCAGAAATTCTGTATTATTAACACTGTTACATCCCATTATTTTTAAGTGATTTAATCAAAACTATTTCTTTAATACTGTTTCATAAAAGATAGCCAATAATGTTTTTTTAAATATGTTTTTATTGATTTCAGAGAGGAAGGGAGAGGGAGAGAGAGAAAGAAACATCAATGATGAGAGAGAATCATTGATTGGCTGCTTCCTGCACGCCCTCTACTGGGCATTGAGCCCGCAACCCAGGCATGTGCCCTTGACAGGAATCAAACTCGGGACCCTTCAGTCCTCAGGCTGATGCTCTATCCACTGAGCCAAACCAGCTAGGGCACCAATAGTTTCTTATAGCTATTTTTTAAGTGGCTAATATTTTTCATGACTAAAAATTGGTAATGAGAGATGCTTGTCAACATCTTTATGGCTTTGTAAGTAGCAAAACAAACAGCCCTTAGACAAAAAGCTTTTCACATGCTCACTAACTGCCAGAAATTTGCTGTCACATATCTTTACAAAAGATGGAAGGAGCAATCTATATAGTCGGTCACTGGGGAAATCAAAAAAGGAACAGTCTGACAATTTTTCAGCTCCTCAAAAAGCGAGAACATCAAAACTAGAATACCAAATCCACCAACTTGCTTCTCTGTCCTACAGTTAGGTTACTTACCTGTTTGGGGGAGGCCTATATGTAAACAATATTTACAGTAATAATATATGGTTAATATTGATAATCTATGAAGTTCTAAAAAATGAAAACGGGGAAACAATTTCAAAAACCAGTCTAGAGGAAACCACAGCTCTCGTGGTCTCATTTCTCTTCCAAGTGTGGAATTGTGCGTATTGTTCATCCTGTTGTTTGTTTCTTGGTGTCAGATGGTTTGATAGAATTCCCGGAATTTCTCTGTACTCCTGCTCCTCACATCTGCTCATTTCCTTTCTCTAAAATTACCAGGTTAGCCATCACTTGCATTCTGTGAGGCATATTAAAGTTGCTTAGTTAATAAAAATGAAATAAAAGCAACCTGACCAACAAAAAAAAAATAAACAAATCCCTATATCTTTTATGTTCCTGGTAATAGGTGGTTCTTTACCTCTTTTAATACCGCCATATCATAGTCCTACCAAAAAGTCATGATGTGAAAAAGACAGTAAATCTTTTTCAAAATACACACATTTTTTTTTCTGTTGATTCTGATCATGCCTGTTAGCTAAATTTCCATCCACCCCACCTCCAGTGAGAATTACTGATTCAGCTGAATACCCAATAAATGAAGTATACTATATAAGAAAAGAGAAACATGCAAATTAACCGTCCCTCCACCACACCCACCAACCAATCAGGAGAGAGTATGCAAATTAAACCAACTAAGATGGCCACGGAGCTGGAGCCAGCAGGAGGCTTGGGTTGCCCCTGGCGACAGAGGAAGCCAAGCTTCCCGCCTGCCCTGGCCGGTCCTCGGCTCTGCTCAAGGCTACAAAGTTTCAATTATAGAAGATAAATAAATCCCAGATACCTGCTTCCAGCCGGCTATGGGCTCCACTCAAGGCTACAAAGTTTCAATTATAGAAGATAAATAAATCCCAGATACCTGCTTCCAGCCGGCTATGGGCTCCACTCAAGGCTACAAAGTTTCAATTATAGAAGATAAATAAATCCCAGATACCTGCTTCCAGCCGGCTATGGGCTCCACTCAAGGCTACAAAGTTTCAATTATAGAAGATAAATAAATCCCAGATACCTGCTTCCAGCCGGCTATGGGCTCCACTCAAGGCTACAAAGTTTCAATTATAGAAGATAAATAAATCCCAGATACCTGCTTCCAGCCGGCTATGGGCTCCACTCAAGGCTACAAAGTTTCAATTATAGAAGATAAATAAATCCCAGATACCTGCTTCCAGCCGGCTATGGGCTCCACTCAAGGCTACAAAGTTTCAATTATAGAAGATAAATAAATCCCAGATACCTGCTTCCAGCCGGCTATGGGCTCCACTCAAGGCTACAAAGTTTCAATTATAGAAGATAAATAAATCCCAGATACCTGCTTCCAGCCGGCTATGGGCTCCACTCAAGGCTACAAAGTTTCAATTATAGAAGATAAATAAATCCCAGATACCTGCTTCCAGCCGGCTATGGGCTCCACTCAAGGCTACAAAGTTTCAATTATAGAAGATAAATAAATCCCAGATACCTGCTTCCAGCCGGCTATGGGCTCCACTCAAGGCTACAAAGTTTCAATTATAGAAGATAAATAAATCCCAGATACCTGCTTCCAGCCGGCTATGGGCTCCACTCAAGGCTACAAAGTTTCAATTATAGAAGATAAATAAATCCCAGATACCTGCTTCCAGCCGGCTATGGGCTCCACTCAAGGCTGTTCCAGACTCAAGAAGGCACAGGCCAGGCTGAGGGACTCCCCCGAGTGCACAAATTTTTGTGCACCGGGTCTCTAGTGTTTAATATAATGAACCACTACAGAGCTTATCAAACTATTTGTGATGAACCAATTGTTTTCAATTTCCATTTTTGCAGGCTCATATTTTGTTAAATACAATACATTAATTACTAAAAAAAAAAATAAAATTAAAAAGAGACATACAAATACAAGCAGAGTCAAATAAAATTACTCTGACCACTGCTATAGAAGTTTCTAAATGTTTATTCTCAATTTCTGTATTTAGCACACAGCAGATCAAAAGGGGGAGGGGCATTTACAGACAGGCAGTCTGTGAGCCACACATTGGGGGATACCGATAAAGCCAACCAATTAATTTCAAAGAGCGCCAGACTCAGGGGTATCTATGGTGCTTGCCAATAGGCTATAGATCTGAGTTTGCATAAATAAGGTTTATTTCCTCCAGGCCATTTATCTTGCTTAAAGCTGCCACTACGCCTGGATTATGACTATGCTGATGAGGCTACACAAAGACATGTATTTCTTAGAACAAAAGGGTAACTGTAATTGAGAGCAAGACTGAAATACCTAGAGAGGATAAAATATTAAGCTTTGACCAGTAAACTATAAATTTAACAACCTGATTTCCTCCTTCAGCTGCTTTTAAACTATAACCATTTTGTTTTAAGAAAAAATGGCCTTCCCTATAAAGCACTAAGTAGAACCCAGCTGCTCACACCCACAAGGAAAGCAGAAACCTACAGCTTCACACCATGGCCGAACTGACATAACGAAATATAAAAATACCAAATAAGATGCAGTCCGTGCCTTAGGGATCCTAATCTAGAAAGACAGGTATAGGAATGACAAAATAATTAAATAAATGCTATGATTGAGACACCGTGGTCTCAAATATAATTTATAACATCAAATTCATAACTCCCGAACCAAAATCTATCCTTGAGAATGTTCCATGTGCACTGGAGAAGATGTATAATCTGTTGGTCTGGGATATAAGGCTCTGTAAATCTCAATATCATACTCAATGGTGAAAAAAATGAAAGCTTTTCCTCTAAAATCAGGATTAAGACAAGAATGCCCTCTCTCACCACTCTTATTCAACATAGTTCTTGAAGTCCTAGCCAGAGCAATCAAGCAAGAGAAAGAAATGAAAAGTATCTACATTGGGGAGGAAGAAGTTAAAATGTCACTTTCTGCAGTTGACATGATTCTGTACATAGAAAACCCCAAAGACTCCAACAAAAATATTATTAGAAACAATAAATAAATACAGTAAACTTGAAAGATACAAAAATCCACTGCTTTCCTACATACTAACAATGAAACCTCAGAAATATAAATTAAAAAAAAAACACAATTCCTTTTGCAATTGCAACCAAAAGAATGAAATATTTAGGGAAAAAATTAACAAAGGATGTGAAGAACTTATACACTGAAATTACAAAGCATTATTAAAACAGATTGAAAAAGACAACAAAATGGAAAAAAATATCCCATGTTCATGGATTGGAAGAATCAACATAAGTAAAATGGCCATATTACCCAAAGCAATATACATATTTAATGCAATCGCCATCAAAACCCCAATGTCATTTTTTAAAGAAATAGAACAAAAACTCATCAGATTTGTATGGAACCACAAAAGACTCCGAATAGCCAAAGCAATCCTGAGAAAAATAAAGAACGAAGTTGGAGGTATCACACTGACTTCAAATTATACTACAGAGCTATGGTAATCAAAACATCATGGTATTGGCAAAAACAACAACAACAAAACAAACAAACAAAAAACAGGCACAGAGACCACTGAGACAAAATTGAGAGCCCAGAATTAAAACCACATGTATAGGGGCAAATAATTTTTGCCAAAAACACACAATGGAGAAAAGAAAGTCTCTTCAATAAATTGTGCTGGGAAAATGTGAAAGCCACATGCAAAAGAATGAAACTGGATTACAATTTGTCCACATGTACAAAAATTAATTAAAAATTGATCAAAGATCTAAATATAAGACCTGAAACAAGAAACTACATAGAAGAAAACATAGGTACTAAATTTATGGACCTTGGTCTTAGAGGACAAATTGTCTTAAAATAACACTTTTCAGTGTTTCCCCTTGAGGTAGCCCTAATGACAGACCAGTGAAGTCACAGTCACTACATAATCTGCTCTTCCAACCTTACCTCCTGAACTCCAGGTTGTTCTGTTTGGCCATATGTGAACAGATATCTGCATGGCTCGCTCATCTCACTTACTTTGGCCTTTTGAACACATGCCATCATTCTGACCTTCCTGGACCAACCTATAAAAAAGTGCAACCTCTTTGCCCCCATCTTCTACCATTCTTTATCTGCTCATTAACTTTTATCACCACTTGTCATTCATATGTTTGGTCACCTCTATAAAGTGGAAAGAAACTCCGTGAAGGCTTCCTTTTGTTCACTGCTAAATCTTCAGTGCTCAGAACTGTGCCTGGTCTGCAGCAGCCATTCAAAAATATTTTCTGAATGAATGAATAATCAAAGATGGATGACTTCCTCTGGCTGGTTATGGGGACTGTCAGATAGATTTATACAAAACAGATGACACTAAAATTAGGTCTTGAAAAAAAAACTCAAGCTTGTCTAACATGGAAAGGGCTAAAAATATCATTGCCATATGCACACATTTTCCAAAAAATCTTGAAGAATAAGAATACATTTAAGGAAGACTATAAGCTTTCTAGCCTAGAGAATCTCCAGGGAAGAAGTTAATTCCCATGATCCAGAAAAGGATCAGGGTATGAATTAACAATCAGAAAACTACCGCAGTTCTCATGAAATTTTACAGATGAGAAGTTACTGTAAAATACATTAAGCTCCTCAGTAATGTAAACATACTCCTAGTAATCTGTTTTATTGTTGCTTCAACTTTTTTTCTGCTGCAAGATTTCAATTTAATTCTCTTACAGTTTTTCCTACATGATGGGACTATAGCTCTTAAAAGGAAACCAAGGAGAAGAAAATAGTATTCCATATCTAGGACTACAGAATACATCTATTCTGCTGACACGTATGGGTCATGAATTCTTGAATCATATTTCCCAAATATAACCTCTTTTTACTATCTGAAATTGTCTTACACATATTTATTTTCTTGCTTACTTCCTATCTTCTTCCCCTAAGAAACTGAATTCCTTCTAACAGAGCAGGTACTTATCTAACTTTCCCATCATATCCCTGGGGTCTGATAAATGCCAAGCACACAGAGCACCCAATAAATGCTTAATGAATGAATAAAATTCAAGTAATAAATAAATATTTTACATAGGGAGTTAAGACTTTAACTTCCAGCACCTGCTCTAAGAATACATTTTCCGCCCGGCCAGCATGGCTCAGTGGTTGAACATCGACCTATGAACCAGGAGGTCATGGTTAGATTCCCAGTCAGGGCATATACCCAGGTTGCAGAATTGATCACCTGTAGGGGGAGTGTAGGAGGCAGCCAATCGATGATTCTCTCTCATCCTTGATATTTCTTTATCTCTCTCCCTCTAACTTCCTCTCTGAAATCAAGAAAAAATTTTTTTTTTAAAGAATGCACTTTCCCCTAAGAATTCTTCTCCTAAACAACATCAAAAGCACAAGTGGAATTGGTCCACTTGCCTTTCTGACTTTACCATATTCTGGGAATGGTATCTCAGCACATACGAGAGGCACAAAGTCTGGAAGTAGTTGCTCTACTGATACACTGTAAGAGAAACAATGCATAGAAAGCAAAGAGATTCCTCCAACCCTGGTTCTAGGTCTAGCACCAGGTGGCCCAGCTTCACAAAAGTGACTAATGGCGACGATGCTTGGGAAACGTACATGTTATACCATCCACACTTAATTTATTCATTATATGATCATAGTTTAAAAAATTTAGGCACTGAGAACTGTCTCTAAGAATTTTAGTAAAACCCAACGTATCAAAGCTTCTCAAATTTCCAATCTCTCTCTCTCTCTCTCTCTCTCTCTCTCTCCCCCTCCTTCCCTCCCTCCCTCTGTCGTGCACACGCACATGCACACACACACACAAGCATTCAAATTAGTCTCAATTTTATTACATTTACAAACCTAGGCATCAAGGCCCACGTCTTCTCTATTTTGTCAGCACTGCAGCTTCCCTCCCTCCCTGCACTGCACCTTCTGTTGCTCACCCTTAAAATTCATTCATTTGTTTATGCATTCATTTGGCTATACATTTCATAAACAGCAATTCGCTTCATGCAAAAGACGTACTCTGTGTTGAAAACACTGTGAAATAATGTTTCATTGGCTAATGAAGGAACTCCAGACACTGCAGGTAAGAGTGCCTTCTGGACTGGTCCAGTCAGTGGCTGGGTGGATGGGCCTTTGTCCTCTCCTCTGGTTCAGGTCCCCTCAGGCAATGACAGCTCCCTTACAGGCTTTGTGAACTTCAGGCCCACCCCCCTCCCTCACCTCCACACCCACACACCAGAAAGTTCTGAACCAGGTCACAGATACTGTCACTGCTAAGGCTGAAGACCAGACAAGCCAGAAACATTGGAAGCTCAGTGATGGTCACTGTTTTGGATACAACTCTGATCTGTGCCACAATGGTTGCTTCTCTCTGCTTTTACAATCAGCTTCAGGGTACTAGTGGATGCACCTTACTCAGACTTTAAGCATAAGGAGAAAAAGAATGCCTAGAGAATGTCTGGGCTTACCGAATCTGCATAAAGGGCTGGCGGCTTTTAATCTTTCCATGAGAAACGAAAAGAAACCAACAACCATCTACTATCACCACTTCATATGGAAAGTAATAAAAAAGCAGTAGGACTATGATGTTAGTATAAGGACCAGTACTTTCAAAGAAAGAACATTAGGCAACCTTATACTCACATGTGAAAAAATAACAGCACGGTGAGTGGAACATTTTTTTATTGTCCTGAATTGATGCCATGCATAGGACCCAAAGCTGTGGTGCACGGAGGGGCAATTACGTAGCCTATGTTCTAAAGGGAGTGCCCATGTGAGACGGGAATGATGCTCCTCACATCCTAAGCCAACAGATAAGGGGTCAAGAAAATCACCCATAAAGATAAAGATAGGCAGTGCCTGCGTGAAAGGGAGAGACCAACACCCCACTGGACACATGAGGCATCCTTGCTGACTGACCTGCCTCCTGTGTCTACTTGAGTAGGAAGGAAAGAGAACTGGAGAGTAATGGCGGGAATGGGCGTGGAGGACGGAAGAGCCGGAACAACTGACATTGGGCAGGGCAGCAACGGCACATTGAGCTCATCTGAGATGAAGGACAACGCTTTCATTCAGATATGAAACGGAAGTTTAAGTCCAAAAGACATGGAAAAATTGGGGAATGGAATTTGAGAATTCTGTGTACCTATGAGGAAGAGCAGCTCTGCAAGCTTCACTGTTGGGCTCAGTGAGTAGAGAAAAGCAAAACATTTTCATGTTTGAACCCCATGAACTTAAAGACCATATGATGAACTAGATGTAAAATATTTAGTTTTCTAAGCTGGCTGCAAGTCAAGGAAAACTTCTCAATGGGTCAGCACAGGCCCACCGAGGGCTTGTAGTCCAAGCCTTCATCTGACACCGGAGAAAAATGGTTCTCAGCTCACACTCAGACCCGCATGATTATGGTATGTTTCCTACCTTATTCTTTTTTCAATCTGGATGTTCCATGAATGACACCAGTTTCCCCATGAATGATACCAGTTTCTCCTGATACGTACTAGCCTCATTAGCAAACTCAATACTGGACAAGAGAATAAGCAGATTAATACTTTTATAGAGGTGGTAGGGAGAAAGATGTAACAGACTTGCTAATTTGCACCACTCCACCTTTCACTGGTCATAGCCACTTTTTTAACTCACACTTCATCTTTCTTTATGTTTTCTTCATACTCTCGTTTGCCACTTGCCCCATCACTCCGTGATTTCCTTTCCGTTCCCTTTCCTAGAGCCAACTACAGCAAATGGCAGAGTGACAGCTAAGAAAGAAAGCGGTATCACTTCAGATTCTTGTCATCAAAAAGCCAATATTTTCTAATAGATATGCTTTAGAATTATTAACAGGTAAAGGATATATTTTACGTTCTGGACCACCAAAATCAAGTGACATGGTTAAATGAATAAAAATATAAAATAATAGTTTCTATTTTAAACATGCTAAAACTAACATCAGGTTTCTATCAATTGGGGCCAGGTTGTTATGTTTCTTTGCTTAAATGTAATAACATCTATCATTTATTTAGCTCACAAAGCATTTTTTCAATTCACCAATGTAAAGGCTTAAAATTCATACATGAGTGTACAAAGTTACATACAACATACATTTATGTGTAATATATGTATGGTACATTGCCCTCCTTTCCTTTAAGGAAAAAAATTGAAAATGCATCTTATTTTACAATTATGAACAAGTATTTAGGTATCTATGAGGAATGACCTTATAATAATAAAGATCTTAATTCTCAAATATAAAACAGGATTTCATCTTCTTATCCCAGTAACCACTATTTCAAGATGTAATAGCAATGCCTATTAAAAAAATATTACTACTGAAGAAAATTTCCAATAATTTGGCTTTGATGTTTTATCATCACCAGTCAATTTTTCATGCTCATCTTTAATGGGTATTCTCTTTAGAAGCTAATGCACATAAAAGGCAAGCTTTCAGTAGAAACTGTGAAGAGAAATATAGTCTGGGTACCATTTCTCAGATGCTGTTTGAGAAATGCAGATCAGGTCCCTGGTGGTTTTCCCTCTGCATCCTCCACATGTGAGTCAGTTGCTAGGAAACGTGAAGACAGGGATTCAGTATGAAGTCTGAGGAACAATGAGCTAGCTTAATATTTAGTGGAATACTAACACATCATCTTCATGAACTGCTGTCTACCTTAGGAAGCTGAAGATTACAGGGGATGTTTTTTAAGAGATACAGATTTTGGGTCTTATCCTTTAACTACTATAAACAGATTCTGTATTCACTGAAATAAGAAGCAACAGCTATAGACACCTTCAAATCTTTTTTTTAAGCAGGAAGTTGCACACATCCTGCTATCCAGACTTACAGATGATGAGAACTAATCTTTTCACTGCTTCAAGCTGTATTTTGATATCACTGCATATATATGCATACACACACATATACACACGCACACACAGGAAAGGAAAGGGAAAAACCCAAACATATCACCACTCCACAATATTATCAGAAGAGCAAAGGGAGGGACTAGAAACAACTTAAGGGCACACGCACACATAAACACTCTCTCTCACACACACATCAAATATATTTCTCATTCCTTAGGGCTTAGTCTACCTGGGCCCAAGAAACAGAAAAATAACTCTGGATGGGGACTTCAAAAATGTGGAATCCATGAAGTCACTGTGTGACTCTAAAAAAAGTATCCTAACTTTTCTGGAATCTTTCTTAGCAAATTAAGAGAGTACTGCTAATCTCAACAGATTTTGGGGAGGATGGGATGAGATGATGCATATATGAGCATTTTGAAATTATATATAGCACTATACATAGGAAGATGTAAAGTTGATTCCAGCAAATAGGCATCTGAACAGGACTCAATATTTTAAAATCAAAATTAAGTCAACTAAAAATCAATAATTTTTTTTCAAAAGCTTCATACATAGCCCTGGCCTACACACCAAAAGGTCACCAGCTTGATTCCTACTCAGGGTACATGCCCAGGTTGGGGGATCAATCCCCTGTATGGGGCATGCAAGAGGCAGCAGTTCAATGTTTTACTCTCACATCAATGTTTCTCTCTCCTCTTTCTCCCTACATATCCCTCTCCCTCCCCCTCTCCTCTCTAAAAAAAAATCAACAAAAAGTTTTTAAAATCTTCATAAATTGTTCCATTAATATTAACATCAAAACAGTAAGTAACTTGGTGTGAATCATTAATATGGATAAGCAATGACTAAAACAAAAACAACCAGAAGAACAATTTACGTTGTGTGTGTTAAACATATTTGAAGCCTTTGCATGAATTCCTCCAGAACTTCAAAGTAGAAAAACATATAAAACTAGAAAAGATATAAGAGTAAGCTTTTAAATGGACTATTGCAAATACTGTCTGTCCTCTTTGTCTTTTCCATGCTAGAAATAACTTTGCCATCACTTTTACCTCCAAAAACATAAATTTCCAAACTGTAAAATCTGTGAACCACTACTAAATTCAATTGGAGCTGAATATACATGCAGATTATGTGGTCTTTTGGAGGTGTTTCTTACACCCTGGTGGCTTGCCAAGCACCAGGGATCTGAGAAACTCCATGTATTAGTTTGCCAAGGCTGCCACAACAAAAATCCCAGACTGGGGGGCCTACACAACAGAAACTTATTTTCTCTCAGATTTGGAGGACAGAAGTGCAAGATCAAGGTGTCAGCAGGTTTGGCTTCTCTAGAGGCCTCTCTCCTTGGCTTGCAGATGGCCGTCTTCTCGCTGTGTCCTCACATGGTCTTTCTCAGTGCATGCACATCCCTGCTGTCTCTTCCTCTTATTAGGACACCAGTCACAGTGGCTCCACCCATATGATCTAATTTAATCTTAATTACCTCTATAAAGGCCTTTCTCCAAATAAGGTCGCATTCTAATGTTCTAGGGGTTAGAACTTGAACATGAATCTTGGAGGAACACTATTTAGTCCATAGCAATCCATTTCTACTTGATCTCAGTGGATCACTAAGTTCTAGGAAATGCTGAGCGAGCGACCAGCTCCACACACAGGCTGTAAGACATTCCCCCAAACCAGACCGCTCCAGGTTCTTATCAAGAGAGAAAACAGTAAGGGAGGTCAGGGACACTCCGGAGAAATTACGTTAACATACATAAATATCAGCATGGCTGAGGAAATAAAAGGACAAACACTGGTATGTTCCGCTGTTTGCAGAAAGTTTCCTCAACCTTACTAACTTTGGCATATACTCAAGCTGGGCCTTCAACTAAAAAGAGTGCATTGCTGGGCCTGTGTGGCTCCTTTGGTTGGGAGTCGTCCTGCGCACCAAAAGGTTGGTGGTTCGATTCCTGTTCAAGGCACATGCCTGGATTGCAGGCTGGATCCCATGTAGGGGGTGTGCAGGAGGCAGCCGATCGATGTTAGGCTCTCAAAACAAGCTATTATGTGATGACTTTTCAAATCGTCTTTCAGAGGGACTTATAAAAGATCACCAAAAATAGTTCCTGAATATTTTAAAAATTGATTTGGAATAAAGAGGCAGGCGAGTAGACCACATTTTCACTCTTAGCCTGGGCTGTAATCTCATCTTTAAAAATAACACCACAGAACACTGCCTTACACAAAAGATAGTGTCTTAGATTTCTAAATTTTTTTACCATCCCCCAATTTTTCTCATTTCTCCTTCATAATGACTCTGTGAGGAAAAGAGGCAGAAAAAGAGAGAGGAAAATGACATGGAGCGGAGTTAAAGGCCATCCCCAAGGTCACAAGCTAATTACCAGGGGAGTCGGAAGGAGAATGCAGGGCTTCTGACTTCTCAGTCAGCACTCTGCATTCTTGGGGCTTAATGACACTGAGGGCACTGAAACTAGTCTTGCAAAGTTCACTTTATTTAGCACCACTGGGATGTAAAAGTCTATAAAAAATAAAATTTTTGCTGAAATTCTTCACATAATCACAAAATGAACTTAATCTGAAATAAACAGAATTCTGACCACTTCTTCAACAAATATTATATATATAAGCTATCAATCACTGTAAACGTTAGAAGCAAAATTTTGTTCAGAAATTTATTTCACGAGGCCAAATAACTGGGTAAACATAATAAAAGTTCAAAATTAGAAATTTCCATAA